TTTTAATGAATGCAATTTTGGAGCCGTATCTCTGACTCTTCATGTTCAAACTAAATATATATTCCTTAAACTTGAGAACTCGCAGAGACTATGTAATGCAAATATTTGTAGCAATTTTTTTCAAAATACAAACAAACAGACTGACTGCCTTTTGTTGATCAATTTTGTATTTATACTTCTCTAGTACAGTGATATTTCTAGACTTTCCTATCATCTTCATGTGTATAATTAGAAATTATCTCTGCACACTCACTGTTATTCTGATTATAAAGTGTGTTGAGATAGTGAAATGATGGTGAAATTGAATACTTGCCTAGAAGGCTTTTCGTATCATTTCATTTAATTTTTAATCACATGTTAAAGATAATATGCTTTTTTATATCAAAGAGGAAAAGTAAATTCATCACTAAACAAACTAACCAAAATTATTTGTTCACCATATTGTTGTGATTGATGGTATAAAAAACTTGGTTGGTTTACAAAAATATCATCAATTTTATGTGCATAACTGATATTGAACATTTGTGAGTTATTAAAAAAAAATGACACTTCAGTTTATGCCTGAGGCATTATTCATGTTTATAATATCATGGTGAATATACCAACATAACTAAATACAGGAAATTAACATATAATGTCCAGACTTGAAATGCATTTTTAAGAAAGATTCATTGCCGCTGTGGTGGTGTATATATTTCAATCTTCCAGCTGTCAAGCATAAAAATGTTATTTTTGGACCACATTGTAAATAGAAGTCTGTTTTTCAATTATCAGTGGAATTCGTGACTATAAAGGTTTGAACGTCATGCTAGTACTGGCAATAAAATGAAATTGTATAGGGAGAACTGTCGCCATGGCAACATCCTTTCGCATAGGAAGACTACATCTAGAGTGAAATGCTTTTTTGCTCTAATACATCCTTTTAAAACCAGTGAACAATGGTTTTTAGTACTTTATTACTTTTTATGAAATGTTCAAGGCGTGGCTCAGTACTCCAAATAGCAGACAAAAATGTGATAGCATCGTTGTGACGTACATGTTTCCACACATCCATATGATAGTTGCTAGTCCAGAAAGTGGTTTAATTTTATATGGTGTAAAATCCACTGCTGGTAGACCGTTGAATGCTGAGGTTTTTCCATTCATGTGTTGAATGAATGCTGGTTTCGGGATGTAGCTTTTGTGCTTAAGAACCGTTAACATGCTTTTTAACTGTACAACATTAAATTGAGTGGAGATGACAAATTATTTCATGGCTTTCCATGAATGTGTGACATTGACACTGACAGTCACTGGATTATACAGTTACATATATGAGTGAGTGTCAGTGTCAAGTGCAGCATGATGCTGTATAAAGTACATGTTGTAACTTATGCATACACGTAGTGTCGACAATATTTCAAACCCTCTGTATATTAATTATGTAGTATAGTTACACCTAAGCCTTGTCATATTGCTCTCTGTTGTGTAGTACTCATCATTTCAGTTACAGAAAGATGAAATTTAATTATGTTAACGAGACCCACTGGAAATATGAAACCATAATATTATGGGTTGGAGTTCAGTAAAATATGATGTGTAACTGCCAAAACAAAAAATTCTGCTAGTTTAACTTAGAACTTTGTTTTAGCACAGAGGCATGATACCTGGGGAAAAATTAAATAATTCTTGATTGCTTTGTGATTTATACTAAAATACCTTGGTCGGTTATTTTTTTTTTCCCAAGGATAAGTAGACACACACAGAGGCATGTGTGAATGAAGGGATGATATTTGAGAATAGATTAATATTTATGTTCAGAATTTCAATGAATTAATTATTTGATTTTATTCTTTAATTGCAGCAAGTAGAAGTGGATGGTCAGCAATGTATGTTAGAAATACTTGATACTGCTGGAACGGTAGGATATCTCATCTTTTCATTCAAATTCATTTCTTTATAAGTAATATGGTTCTGACTGATGATGATGTCTCTAAATACATGTGTATCATCTGTCGTTATATTTTATTTTTATCCATATCACATATGTATTAGTCAGATCATATTGAAAATGTTATGTTATCCGTGTTAATCATTACCGGGACATTTATTCAAGCTGTTCATTTCCGAACTTTTCCCGTCCACTGCTGAGTTCATGCAGAGTCTTCATGTTACACCCCAGCACTAGTGTTGATATCACTACCAAAACATTTATAAACTTCCATATTTATGGTTTTGTAACACAACTGTGAAATACATACTTAACGGTATGTCGCTGAATCAGAAGTCATTTTATACATTTTGTTGTTACTGTAATCTGCTTAATTTTTGCTGCTAGGAATTTTTGCGACCTGATAATTTTATAGTAATCACAAGAAAAAAATTTGCAATAGTTACTGTAAAAATGTTTTTTTCTCTTTTAATTGATTTTCACCAATTTCGCTGCAGGAATGATTCAGTGAAAATAAAATCTAGCGAATATACCTTTTTTCCTATATTTTGCATTCAATTCCATACAAAACACCTAGAAATTATTTCCAGCTAAAATAAAGTGTTTCACAGTACTGGGACTCCATGTTGCATGTCCCCAGAGAAATATTTACTGCTAAAAAAGTTCATGATTTTCTTTGACTCTCGAAATACATGAAAATTTGTCTCGTACGAAATTATGATTCACAATATTTATTTGAAAAATATTATATACTGTAGGCATAATGTGCTTTGATTTCAACATGACTCTGTACTGATAGTAATATCCGTGAGAAGTAATCTTTTCGTGGAACCAGTATCAATTTTAAAAATTACATGATTTTCCATGTCCTAACAAATTTATAAACATGCGGTGCTCTCGAAATTTAAAATACTATAAGATAAGGAAAGTGATTGAGAGTGTTTCTGACCCAACCTTGTTTTAATGATTTTGTTTCTCTCAACAGGAACAATTTACAGCAATGAGAGACCTGTACATGAAGAATGGACAAGGTTTTGTACTTGTCTACTCTATCACAGCGCAGTCAACGTTTAATGACCTACAAGATTTAAGAGAACAGATTCTTAGAGTAAAAGACACAGATGACGTAAGTGTGAATTTAGGTCACTGTTTCTCTTTCCATCCATTGCGGAAATACTAGTAGGCTTGAAGAATGTGGGTTAGTTTAACCACCCATTAACAAGTTAATTAACAAGTGCCTTTTTAGG